GTCATTGTCTTGGTGGTGGTGGTGGTGGTCATGTGCCGTGGAGTCGGTTCCGACTCATAGTGACCCTGTACAGGGTTTCCAAGGCTGTAAATCTTTACAGGAGCAGAAAACCTCATCTTTCTTAGGCCAGGTTTTCTAAAGAAGCAATACCAGTGAACCATAAATACGTATACATATAGATGAAGAGAAGTTTATTTATTATGCAGTCTTACAATTGCAGAATCCCAAGTCCCCAGTGGAAGAGAGAGAGAGCTTTTCCTGGGTGGCATTATATTGAGAGCAGGTCCCATCCCCAAGGAAACAACCCTTCAATTGATTGGCTATTAATAGCCAATTTTCATCGAATAACTGTACCTGTTTTAGTTTCCATCACCACAGAATAAGCACATCCCAACTGCTAAACCTCTGGACATCCTGACCAAGTCAAGTTGACACAGAACCCTAACCATTACATTCATTATGAGTCATTATCGACTTGACAGTAATGAAGTCTTTCATATTACATAAACAAACATACATAATAAATAAACATTCATTGTCAAAGTATCACAGGACATAAAAAAATTTTTTTTTCTCCAAATAGACGTAAAAATGCTTCTCTTTCCAAACTATTGGCATCAACTCAGTGGTAATGTTTTCATTTATATTAATTGGGCGAGTTATTTATTTTTAATTTAATAATTTATCAATGGACTCCTGATATAGCTCCATAGGATCAGCTCTGGACTGTGAACCATAAGGCTGAGAACCATAAGCAGTTTAAACCCAATAGCTGCTCCTTGGAAACTCTACACAGGGTTGCTATGAGTTGGAACCGACTTGACAGCACTTAACAACAGCAACAAGAAATTTATGACTGTGTGAAATACTCAAAGCAAGAACCTTCTAATGATTCTGACCAGAGAATCTACAATTCTTTCCATCAGCAGCTTTCCCCCATGATGACACTGAAGCTACCGCCATTTCTCCCATCCTCCACGCTCTCTCTGCATGCCATCATTCGCCATGGGTTGGGTGTCTCTGCCTGGCAGCTCCAAGTGGAGGCTGTGGTCTGGTCTGCTGACCCTTATGGCCTGCTAGAACCCACTGGCTGCAGAAGAGCTAAGATTTGTTGACATAGACAATTCCAAGTAAGTTTTAGGATGAAAGTGGAAAGAACAAAGCAAGGTTTTTGCCGCCAGCCTTTGTGTAAGAGCAGCAAAGAGGAGTAGAAATATGCAAAAGGTAGAAAAGTAGTTTCCTCCTCTAGGAAAAGTGAATCTGCTCAACAAATATAGGTTGGTCTCTTATGCAACTCCTTTGGTCTCCAGGGAAGCAACTGAAGTAAAGCTGGGTCAGATTTGGTGACTAGAAGCCACTCCAGATCTCACTGAGCCTCAGTTTCCTCATCTGTAAAACGGGAGAATCACATTGACTCTCAAGGTTGATATGAGATAAAATAAGGTGGTATGTGAAAACATTTTGTACATTTTAAGTGCCTTATGACTTCATTTTTCTTGGATCAATTATCAACACTCATGGAAGCAGCAGTCAAGAAATCAGATGACATATTGCATTAGGCAAATCTGCTGCACAAGACCTTTTTAAAGTGTTGAAGACCAAAGATGTCAGCTTGAGGACTAAGGTGTGCCTGACCCAAGCCATGGTGTTTTCAATAACCTCATATGCATGTGAAAGCTGGACAGTGAATAAGGAAGACTGTAGAAGAATTGATGCTTTTGAGTTATGGTGTTGGAGGAGAATATTGAAAGTGCTATGGGCTGCCAAAAGAACCAATAGATCTGTGTTGGAAGAAGTGCAGCCAGAGTGCTCCTTGGAGGCCAAGATGGCCAAACTTCATTTCTCATACTTCAGACATACTGTCAGGAGGGACTAGTCACTGGAGAAGGATATCATGTTTGGTAAGGTGGAGGGTCAGAGAAAAAGAGGAAGAACCCCAATGAGATGGATTGGCCAAGTGGCAGCATCGATGGACTCAAGCATGACAACAGCAGTGAGATTGGCCCAGGATCGGGTAGTGTTTCATTCTGCTGTGCATAAGGTCGCTATGGGTCGGTACTGACTTGATGGCACCTAACAACAAAGTGCCTTATCAGTTGCGTTACCTCTTTAATCAGAAGCTTCCTGGTTAAAGAATTGGATATTTTGGCTTTTTTTTTTCTTTTCCACTGGGTCCCTGGGACTCTACAACTGAATAGATGATTCCAGAAGCAAAATTAAGGCAGAGCAGGAGTGGAGCGCGGGGTCCCTGTCTGGAAAAGCAGGGACAGCAGAGATGGCAGTAATATGGGAAGACTGTGGACTCTAGGCCCGTTGACTGAGAAAGGCTCCGGGCCTACAGGAAAATGTTGCCCTTTTCATTTTGAATGATTGAGCAGTCCATGGTGAAGGATCCCTTACTAGTGCTGTTGTCTCCCTTTATAAACCCAGCTACTGCTTCTGAGACAGGAGGGACTGGCCCCTCCTGACGATGTCTGGCCATCCTGGCTTCCAGGGAGCTTTCTGGCTGTACTTATTCCAACACAGAAGCGAGGATGGCAAGGCTTCATCTTAGGTACTTTGGACATGTTATCAGGAGTTCCTGGAGGAGGACATCATGCTTGGTAAAGTATAGAGGGTCAGAGAAAAAGGAAGACCCCAGCAAGATGGATTGATGCCTCTTGGCTACAACAATGGGCTCAAATATAACAATTGTGAGATGGGAGCAGGACCGGGCAGTGTTTCATTCTGTTGTGCATAGGGTCACTATGAGCCTACTCAATGGTATATAACAGCAACAAGTCCCTGAGTATTGGTCGAGAAGGAAGCTTCAAAATATTTGTGGAAAAGTGGAATTGAAAGACAATGGATTTTTACACAGCCTGTTTGAAGCTCCCTCATACAACTTTCTTTTTAATTGGTTACTCCTCCTGATATTGGTTATGATTGCTTCATAGATTCAGGAGTTGTCCATCTTTTCATACATTCTGGACTAGTTTGAGTATAACTAATCATTCTTCTCGGAATGATTGGCAGCTTCACCAGTAAAACTGTGTAGGCTGTGATCTGTTGATGTTCTTGGGAACTTTATTATAACCTATTCAATTTCTTTCTTTTTTTGTGTGTGTGGTATGTGTGCTAAAATTTTTATCTCAGGTTGTGTTAGTCTGAGTATGTAGTGTGTTTCTAGAAAGTTGTCATTTCATTTAGGTTTTCAAATTTGTTAATATTTTCTTATTATATATTTTATTACAGTCAGTTCTGTTGTTGCATGGCCTATATTTATTTGTTATTTGCATTTTCTCCTTTTCCTTCGTTAAATTTGCCAGTAGTTGAATCAACTTTATTTAATGCTTGTTGATTCTATTGTGTTTCTGTTTCATTGATTTTTGCCTAAACCTGTATTATTTCCTTTCTCTCATTGATTATAGGCTTTTTGCTGTTTTTAACCCTTAATTGGAGATCTAGGGTTAAGATGTTAATTTGGGTTTTTTCCTCTTCTTTTATAATGTGTTTGGTGCTATAAGCTGTCCTCTGAGCACTGCTTTTACAATGTCCCAAAGGTTTCAGTATGCTGGATTTTCATTCATGTTGAATTCAAGAACTTTTGCTTGTTTGATTTCTTCTATTACCCAGAAATTGTTAAGCGATTTCAACGTATTTGACTTTCCCCTACCTTGATTTTCCTTTTGTTTATTGCATTGTGAACTAAGAAGATATTTTGTAAAAAAAAAAAAAAAAAGAATTGGGTATTTTGATACTTTGGATCAATAGTTTGCCCAATAAAGTTGTCTTGGGATGTTTTCCCTAAAATAGATCCCTCTTGCTCCCCAGCCCCTCTCCTCAATTTCTACCCCCTTAGTATTTCTTTCTTCACAGCAGGTAGCACAACCTGAAAACAACTGAAGAGCAGGACCCTGCCAGTCTTGTTCACCACGGTCTCCCCAGTGTCCAGCAGAGGGCCGGACACACACATAGTAGGTACTCAATCAATTGTTAAGTGTTGAACAGTGAATGCATGATCTGGTTCTTCTAGCAGATAGAGCAGTGTCGTGGTCAAACAGCAGTGGTCCTCAAGCTTTGGGTGGCTTGTTTCAAATGTGAGGTCCCTGCCCCAGCACCAGGGGATTCTGACTAGTAGATGTGGTAGGGACAACTGACTTCGCTATTTTTAACAAGTGTCCTCAGGTGATTCTGTGGCAGGTATTCACTGAACATCTCTGAACGGGACAGATGTGAATCTGGTTTCAGCTTGCCACTTCTAGCTGTTGCCCTTAGCAAGGTAACTCAACTGCTTTGAGACTGGTTCACGTTATGTGAAACAGGAATGGCGTTCTCATTGGAACGGGTGTGAGAATTCAGTTAGATAAAGGATGCCAAGTTCTTGGCCCCCCACTGCCATCAAGTTGATCCTGACTCAGTAACCCTAAAGGACAGAGTAGAGCTGCCCTCTAGGGTTTCCAAGGCTGACTGCCTTATCTTTCTCCTCCACAGCTGCTGGTGGGTTCAAACCACTGACCTTTCAGTTAAGCCTAAAGCTTAGCCCACTGCATCACTTTCAAGTCTGAGGGAGCCGGGGAGCCAGTGTGGATTCTGTTATTGTTATGCTCTGACAGGAGAGGGTTCTGCCTGCAGGACGACCCTTGGGAGTCTCCTCAAAGTGTGGTTCTCATCAACAGCAGCTGTAGCACCTGGGAGCTGGTTAGAAACCCAGCGCACACCGGGTGGACTGGAATCTGCATTTTAACTAGATCCCCAGGGACTTCAGGTGCACATTCAAGTTTGAAAAGCACAGCTCCCAAGTCACAGGTCTGTCTTCTTCTGGTCTCTGTTGTTTAGAGTCTGCCCAGAAGAAGGTTGTTCCACCTGACATCTCAGTCTTCTCACCCTTTCAAGTGCAGAGGAGGAGAGAGCACGACTCAGCCTCGAGATTAGGACAAGCGATTTCTGAAGCTCCCGCCTCTCTCATGGAGCCCTGATGAACCCCTTAGCCTCTGAGCAAGGATCTGTGGATTCAGGGCATGGACCCAAACTCTGTCTTGCTTTCTCCTCAGTCCCGGACCTTCTCCTGTCTGACAGAGCCCAGCATGGAAGGTGGGAGGAGCCCAGCCCCTCCCGAACTGGCCAGAGACTCCCTGTTTTCCTGGAGCCAGCTCCCCAGCTCCGGCTTGGCCGACCCTGACTGGTTTTGGGATGAGCACATCCAAGCAAAGAGGGCCAGAGTGGAGACCATTGTCCAAGGCATGTGCCTCTCCCCAAGCCCTCTGGGTTCAGGCAGTGCCCGGTCCAGGAACAGCCCCTGCTGCCCAGAGAAAGCCCAGAAACGGAAGAGGAAGCAGAGCCTTCCCATGCAGCAAGGCCCCCAGAAACCAAGCCCTGCCAGGGACCAGGGCAACAGGAAGGGGCTGGGGACCCCTTACATGAGAGAACAGCTTCACCTGCTGAAGCAGCAGTTAAGACACCTGCAAGAGCATGTCCTGCAGGCTGCTGAGCCCAGAGGTCCAGCCCAGGGCCCAGGAGACTCAGACAAGGGGAAGGGCCCTCTGAGAGTAAAGCAGAGGAGTGGCGGAGGCTCTAGTCCTTGGACTGTGGACAGCGCCCTCCATCAGGGCTCCAACAGGGACCTCTCCAGGGTGGACAGACACAGAATGTCTGAGGCACCCGGGTTCCTTCCTTCTGGAGCAGATCTGCGGGAGATTCTAAGAGAGGAATTGACCAGAGCAATGTCCCAGACTGTGGACTCAGTATTACAAAAGGTATTATTGGAGCCACCAGGCCACTTGGTTCAGGCAGGCCGAAGCTTCCAGGGCCTAGCACCAGAGGATAGAAGCGAGCCCTCCCCTTCCGAGGGAGGTGCCTACAAAGAACCACATTCTCTGGCTATCTTGCCAAGGAGGGCCCAGCCACAGACTGGGGTTCCAATGGGGCACTTATCACTGGCCAAGCCCCTAGATTCGCCTAGGTACCCTGACTCTCCAAGAATGATCCCTAAATCCTACCAGGACCTCCCAACAAACTGTCCTTTGGCTGTGCCTTCCTGCATCCCAGAAAATCAGATTCTTAGCCAGCTACTGGGTCATGGGTCCAATGGCCATTGGAGTGACAGTCCCCTGCAGGACTCAGCTTCCCCAAGCCACCCCTCCTCAGAGTCTGTCCTGAGACCTTGGGGAGCTATCAGACTGCGGCGACCATCGACTTTGAGCCAGCAGCAGTACTCTGGGCCTTTCACCGCTGCCCACCTGGTGAAGATGGAGCAGGTTGGCCTGCAGGCTGTTACCGAGGCGCTTCCCTTCTCTTCAGCCCACATATCCTTTACCAGTGATTGAGGTTCTCATTGTCACTGCCCAAAGAAACAGGCAAGCTAGAGGAGAAAGAGAGGACAGACAATTGTGTGGCTTAGGGAATCACTTTGTTTTCAGGATGGCGTCTTAATGTTGCTTTCACTTCCCTATGGTGAAAGTGGTGACCACACTCTGCGATCCAAGGATACTATAATGTTCACTTACCTTCTTTTGCGGCTCATCAGATTCCATCTTTACTTCTAATTCCTTTGGGCCCAAATGTTTGTTTTTAAACTTAAGTGGGCTTCCAAAATACGGGAACTATACTGTGGGAGGTAGAGCCCCATAGTGTAGTTGTCAGCTGGCTATACACCTCAGCTGAGACGGTCCAAGGAAAGACCTTACCTGAGGCATGGCCCTCCAACCCTACGACTTTATAGGCAAAACCCTGCATGGTTTAGGTCAATCATGGGAACATGTGAAAGACCAGAAACTTCTGGGGTAGATAGGAAAGGAGAAGTTGTCCTCATGGACCAGACCTGGAGAGGCAGTTGGAAGAAGTAAGAAGCCGTTAGGTTAAGAAATAAGGTCCAAGCTACAGTTGGGAGGGCTGGCCAGGCAGGAGAGGAAGCTTCCATAGGGAAGCCTCAGGCCCAGACTGGGCTACAAGGTTCTGGGTCTTCTTGTCTCATCTCTACAATCCTTAAAACAAAATAAAACAAACAAAAGAACCCAGTTGCCATCAAGTCAATTTGGACTTGACGTCAATCCATGTGTGTCAGAGCAGAACCTTAAGCCAAAGGTTTTCAGTGGCTGACTTTTCAGAAGTGAGTTGCCAGACCTTTCAGTTAGCCGCCCAGTATGTTAAAATTTGAACCATCTGAGGACTCTTTTTGGGACCCTTTGTTGTTGTCATTAAGTACAGCTGAGTCAGTTCCGACTCATAGTGACACTACTATAGGGTTTCTGAGTAGGGACTGGTGAGTTTGAACTGCCAACCTGTGGTTAAAACCAACATATGGTCGAGTACTTTCTGACCACACCAGTACTCCAACTTAAGCACTGTTCCCGAGCAATAGCTGTTGAATGAGAAGAAAAATTAGCTTGGGTAAATTTGGGGGTCTTGACTGAAGGATTTCTCAGAGCCTTTGACAAGCTTGAAATTTGATATGAAGCTCTAAGAGGAGAATATAAGCAACTTCCAACTCCACAGCACAAAAACAACTCTGTAAGGACAAGAGGTCTTTTCCCAACAAGAATCTTAAAGTTCCTAACAGTACATTTTAGATGCTGCTTTTGTTGCTTTGGATGTAGTTGCTCCTGGGCAGCGGGGAACCTGGTTTCCAGAGGTCCATGTGTTCACACGTGGGTATGTTCACACGTATATCATCCCACTCCACAACCCCTCTTGGAGTCCTAGTGTGGAGCTGTAGGATAAGCACTAGACTGCAAGGTCGGTGGTTCAAACTCATCAGCTGCTCCTCTGAAACCCTATACAAGGTCGCTTTAAGTCAGAACTGACTCGATGGCACTTAACAAGAACAACTTATTCCCCCCAGGCAAGCTACCACGAAGGCAGCGGAATGAGGTAAAGTGGTGGGACCAGCTCACTTCCAATCTGGCCCGCTTTTGCGTCCTAAAGGCTTTTAGCGCCCCCTGCTGGTCACAGATGTTGTACACACTCCCAAACTCGAGGCAGTGAGCAACTTTCAAATCCAACTCTTGAGAACATCTCGCATGGCCTCTGCAGGCTGTAGAGAATCTTTTTGAAGGTAAGGAGATGCCTACGTAGATCTGTTTTCTTGTCAGGTACTCCCCACTAAAGTCAGGCATTGGCAAAAGAACCTCAAGAAGACTTAACCCCCAAAGATTCTTTCCTGTATGGCCTGGCATAGGGGAGGGGGCATGCTAGCATGCCTGATTTTGTCTAGTGAAATGAGGACTGAGTTCAGAGAGATTCTGGAGATTTGGGGGCCGTTCCTAAGAAGGACCTCCACCAGGTCTGACTGCATGGGGAATGATTTGGGGCCCCAGGCAGCATCTTGGCACCTATGGGCTGCCTATATTCCAGCATTAGAGGCTCATTCTTTTTTTTTTTTTAATGTTTTATTGTGAATTATGTGATAGTTTACATGGGAGAACATTAGTTTTACATTCATCCTATAGTATATCATTCCATTGCTATGGTTACAATCCCCTCTATGCATCACCAACCATCCAAAGAGTATACACTACAAACATGCCCCCCGGTCATCAGCACACAGCCCCTCTCCCTCTCTGTGTCTAAAGTCCCCAACAGCTCCATCTCTCCATGTCATCGTCTCTGCTTCCATCTCTGGCGTGACGTCACTGCTTCTCTGGGTATGGTCCTGCTCTCTGCTCTTCTCCCTTGATGGTCCTAGGGACCTCGGCTCTTAGGCTGAAAAGTTAATCACTCCCTTCCTTGCTAAAAAACGTCTACCTTTACATTTCCAACCCTCATAAGCAGTCCAGATAACAATTATTCACTATTGTATCACAAGAGCTCCATCCGGATTTCATTTCATCAGCCCCGCCTAGACAGATTGTATACTACTCAGTGGGGATTCTACCTTCCTCCAGGCCCTATGAATCTAGCTTCCCTCTTGAAAGCTTGCAAGCCAGTCACTTTTTGTAGAGGCTCATTCTTAAGTTCATAAACGCTGCCTAGGAGCAAGTTGCTTTCAAATGTGAGAGAATTTTCACTTAGGTGATATTCCTGGGAAACAGGCAGAGCAGGTATGAGGAGGTAACAATGGCATAGGATGTGTTGAATGCAAACTGATGATATTGTCTGTAAACCTTCACTCAATTCACAATAAAAAGTTTAAAAATCTAAAACAAGAAATCAGTGGGCTAAGGATGCACACACTCCACCACAATTCTGAAAGCCAGAGAGCTCTGGAAACAGCTGTGTTGTTTGGTTTTCCCCTCTCAGAGTGAAATATTTTGTGTGTGGCAAAACCTGATCTGCACTCACTGGGGGCCACTTAACAGACTTTCTTGGTTCCACTAAGGCAGGGGTGGGAAAAATCTGGCCCACACGCTGTTTAAGACCAGTAAAATCATTTGGTCTGGCCCTGCCAACGCAACCACAGTTCTAGCCATCACATTTGTTGTTGTTAAATGCTGTCGAGTCGGTTCCAACCCACAGTGACCCTTATAGGGTTTCCAAGGAGTGGGTGGTGAGCTTGAACCACGGACCTGGTGGTTAAAACCAACTTTGCCGTCTGGCGCATTAACCCACTGCACTACACCAGGACTCTAGCCATCACATTAGGGGTGAGTTAATTAAATACTTGACCAAATAGTAGGCAATACAATTTTTAAGTTGATAATTTTGTATGGCTGGCGAAGGATGTTATAAATTTTGGCAGAAAAAAAAGTTCCTCTCCCTTGCGCGGAAGGATCCAAGTTTCATTTGGCTGTGGAATTATCAACGTATTGAATGAACAAAGGCCGCCAGACCCCGTTGCACTGTTAATGGCACACACACCATGGGCCCTTTACAACTGTACAGCCATTCTGAAATTAGAAACCAGAGTTTTTGCAAAGGTGTTGTGGGCCGCTATATCTCTCAGTCCTCAAGCTTCCACTTGTAGAAGCAGGTGTGTGAAGTAGGGACAGAATAGCAAACTGATTTGCCCAGACAGCAATTGTGGAGCCAGGGTTCAATCCAGACTCTGATATTCAAGGCCTGTCTTTTACCACGACACTGTGTAACTTGGAAATGAGGCTCAGAGAAGTGAAGTGGCTTGCCCGAGGTCAAAATCGGTATCTGAAACTGGATTCTGATTCCCAAATCCAGGAGTTTCCACAACACTTTTATGAACCTGCTAAGGGAATAAGGAGTAGGGTCGTGGGGCAGCCTGGGTGCTGGGGCCCGTTAGAACTGAGAAGTCTTGATTGTCCTAAAGCTACAGCTCTCTGGTTATGCTTCTCACCCACCCGGAGGATGGTTTCTGGGACTGCTACGGGTTTTTGTGTCAGAATCCCTACCCCTTGCTCTAGCAGAAGGGAAAGGAATCCGTTTCCAGGATGAGGTAGGGTTTGGAATATAATTTCCACATTGGATATGGATTGTTGTTGTTGTTGTTGTTGTTCTTGCTCTGACAGGAGGATCAGCCCTGTGCTTATCCTTCAGTAACACACCAGGACTCCACGTGTATGGATTAAGGTTGACTAATTTAATCACTCACTCATTTTTTCAGCCAATGAACATTTATTGAACACCTACTATGCGCAGCGTTAACCATGGGGAATACAAAGGTGAAAAGACAAAGCCTTTGCCCTTAAGGAGCTCACATTCTAAGTGGGGAGAAACATGCTGTAAAAATTCCAGTAGGGTCACTGCTACAACAAAGAGCCCAGAGTAAACCCACCCACTGCCCTCGAGTGATTCTGACCGAGACCTGACAGGACTTTGTAGAACCACCCTATAGGATTTCCAAGGCTGAAAAATCTTCATGCCTCACTTTCTCCTGTGGAAGGGTTGGTAGGATCAAACCACACACCTTTCACTTTCATCAGCAGTCAATGTTTACCCAGGGTAAGGCAGGGCTGATTCCGTAGGAAAGGGGTCACGGAGGGAGCAGCTGAGCTGAGACATGAAGGAGGAGGAAGAGTTCTGCCAGGTCAGTGGAGAGCAGCTGTAGCTCAGAGGGGCAAGCTCCTTTAACAGCAGCAAAGTGTAAGCAGGAGTCAGTCTGGTCATGAGCACCTGCCAAGATACGAGCCAGAAGGGGGCTGTCTAGCCATCTCCTCTCATTCCACAGATGAGGAGAAGGAGGTAGACAGGCAACGTCAATCTCTACTTGGGGTTTTGAAATGGTCTATCTGGGGGAGAGATACTATCTCTTCCCATCCTGCAGCACATACACTGTATTTGAAATCATACAGGGCCTATGTTTTATAAATTCTATAACTTTACTATACACATAAGGCATCCAGCATACAGAAGGAAAAACAAAGACCAAAACATACATCATTCAGCCAACAACAACAACAAAACAACCAAAAAGGAATAGGACAATGATTTGGAAATTTTGATAAAAATGATTTGATAAACTTGTATTTTAAAGTGTTAATGAAGTCTCCTTAACACTGAGCTAAATCCAGGAGGGCCTGAATCCCGGTCACTTGAAGAAGGCCAAACTAATGTTTTTCTTCACACGCTATCCCAGCTCCAACCTCCTGAAGGTCTATTTCCCTGATGTTCAGGTAAAGCCCTGCGGTCAAGTTGTAGCCTCTGCAAAACTGCCACACTGCTGTGGGGTTTGCCCCCGAGTGAGGCAAGTCCTAGATGATCACTTGCACTTTGTGTTGTTGGAGAAATCTGAGCAATTTCCAGGTCTGGGCAGAGGCGCTGATGAATCAGCACAATAATTGGGCTGGGACTGGGTATTGGAAATGTTAAGCCTTTGAGCTGTAGATGCCCAGAAACACAAGGGATGGGAGGTGGAAAAGAGGAAAGACACTAGGAAAATGGCCTAATCTTGTTGGGACATTATGAAAAAGAAAGACTATATAAAAAGGCTGGCACTGTCAAATTCCCATTCAAACCCCTGTGAAGGTATATACAGCCCAAGTGTGACAATAAGGAAAATCGGCTGATGGTTGTAACTAGACCTTGCTTGTTCCCATATCAAGTTTCTGAGGTGTTGGGATCTAGAAGAAACCCGTAGCCATTAAGTAGATCCCAGTTCATAGCACCCCTAAAAGACAGAATGTTGTTGTTGTTCTTCTTAGGTGCCATTGAGTCAGTACTGGCTCATAGTGACGTTATGCACAGCAGAAGGAAACACTGCCCGGTCCTGCGTCATCCTCACAATTGTTATGCTTGAGCCCATTGCTGCTGCCACTGTGCCAATCCATCTCATTGGGGATCTTCCTCAATTTTGCTGACCCTCCACTTTGCCAAGCATGGTATCCTTCTCCAGGGACTGGTCCCTCCTGATAATATGTCCAAAGTATGAGAGACGAATCTGGCCATCCTGGCTTCCACGGAGCACTCTGGCTGTACTTCTTCCAACACAGATTGTGGTTGGTTCTTTTGGCAGTCCATGGCAGTTTCAATATTCTCCTCCAACACCATAACTCAAATGTATCAATTCTTCTACAGTCTTCCTTATTCACTGCCCAACTTTCATATGCATATGAGGTTATTAAAAGTACCATAACTTAGGTCAGGTGCACCTTAGCCCTCAAGCAGAATAGAACTGCCCTATAGGGTTTCCAGGAGTTCTGGTGTGGCACTGCAGACTAATGCGTCAGACTGCAAAGTTATTTGAACTTCAAGGTTGGCAGTTCAGGCTCACCAGCTGCTCCTTGGAAACCCTATACAGGGTCACTATTGGTCGGAATTGACTCGACAGCACTTCACAACAACATAGAGTTTCCAAGGCTGTAACTTTATGGAAGCAAACTGCCACATCTTTCTCCCATGGAGGAGCTGGTGGGTTCAACATTTTGAACTAAGCAGCTGTAAACACTGTCACCAGGATGCCTTGGGTGTTGGGTTGTTGTTATTAAGTGTTGTCGAGTTGATCTGGACTCAAAATGACCCTGTATAGGGTTTCCAAGGCTATAAATCTTTGTAGGAACAGAAAGCCTCATTTTTCTCCTGTGGAGTGACTGGTGGGCTCAAACTACTGACCTTGTGGTTCAAATTCCAGTACTTATCCTAGAGAGCCACCACACTTCCCTGGGTGTTGGGTTAGAGGCCGTTAAGACTTGGACGCTGTATCATTTCTTTATGGTTTAGGTCTTTCCCTCATACTCAGTAATTGGTTCCTGCAGCAATCTCTGGTTCTGATTCATTCTGCAGCTCTGAGTTGCCCCAACCCTTAGTCCTCTACCTGGCAGAAGGCCAGTGCTGCCACAAAACTGGCCTTGACCCTGGGTCCTCCCCAAGTCACACATAACATGCAAGGTTTTTCATGGGGTAAAATCTTCGTAAATCTAGCATATCAAAAAACAATTATTTTCTAACAGGCATTGTGGCTAATTCAGATTTTTCTACATATAACTGAATAGTCTTGGTAAGTAGCCCCGGCTCCTTTTAAAAAGCAGCCCTTTCTAACGTTGATGGAAGCCATTCTCATCAGCTCCCATGTTGAATGGGGTACTGACAGTTCTGAAGCTGAGCACCTGGTGGCCGGCGTTTGACCTGATGGACCATTGTTTGTACAGTTCAACCGCTGCATCACCTCCCAGATGATCAAGTGGTTCAGCAACTTCCGTGAGTTTTATTACATCCAAATGGAGAAATTTGCCCGGCAAGCGATTTCCGAAGGTGTCACAAATCCCAAAATGCTGGTGGTTCTTCGTGATTCGGAACTTTTCCGAGCTCTCAATACGCACTACAACAAGGGAAACGACTTTCAGGTAAGTTCGTGTACTTGGGTTCCATGAGGGCCTTCCTTTGGGGATTTGAGTTTTCAAAACTTGTTAGTGAGAAGGCAAAGTAGCTGAGGATCGATCCATAAATCACCCACAAAAATTACGTCTCCAGCACCTTTCTTGGGCAGCAGTTAGCTGCTGCAAACCCACACACCAGTCTTCTTTCTGAAGCCACTTCAGACTCCTTTGTGTTGAGTGTAAGGCTAAATGCAAGGTTCAGTTGCAGCACCTGGTCCTGACTTAGGTTTTCTGTGCAACCATTTCCCATTCTCTCATCATATGTACCTCATCTTTATTCTCACTTGAAGAGTTTTATTATTTGTAGACTTTCCATAGCAAGCCATTTCACATCCTTTCTAGAGACAACACATAAACAATACTCAGGCTTCTCAGTCCCCTGGGGACCTCTGTGGAGGCACACTGGTGGCATCTTAAGAGGTAAAGCTTCAGGAAAGGGTGAGCATGTGGACTGAGATTTGCTGGCAACAGCTCCTAGTCAAGAGGCATGCTATTTTTCACAAGCCCCTGCCCACTGGCCTCATACTCTACCAGAGCTGGTGTGTCTGTCACTTGACTGTGGTCACAAAGAGCTGTTTATTGATATCGCCAAGAAAGGTAAGTGCTGCTGGCCTCAACTGGTCACTCGCTTAGCCAGAGGATGCCTGGAAACCCAAGCCCACCTGTGGGGAAAACAGGCTGTGCTTCATCTCTGAGGCTCTGGGGCCAGCGTGGGAAGGTGGCACATCTTCCCTGTGGATGAGGTTGTTTGGCGCGCAGTGGGGGCAAGCCCCAGGCTGGATCTGGAGAACCTGTGGGTGGCCCCATCATCTATGCCAGATCCTTGAGTTCCCTCCTAGTTGGTTTTAGAAGCAGAGATGATTCCAAGTCCCTCAGAGGTGGGAGGAGCCCCTCAGGAGGGAGGGCTTGGGGACATGGCTTCCCACAGCAGGCACTAAGGAAAAGGCTACTAAAAACCTCTTGTGAACCACAGATCTCATTTCAGCCAATCAGTTTCCCACTTACTAAAATGTCACTGTTTTTGGATGTCATTCCAAACTGATTGGTAGCAACTCTTAGAAAGGGATGTCTCATCAGGATGTCATCTTATGGTTTGTATTTGATGAAGGAACAGGTGATTCCAGGGGCTGTAAAAATCAGAGACCAGTGGGGGCAGTGATGTTCACATCAGTGGCACCAGGCAGTAAGGTCTATGAAGTGGCAGAATGTCATGGCCTCACGTTTTTTCTTTCTTGTGGGTCTCTTTGGGAACGCAGGTCCCAGACTGCTTCTTGGAAATCGCCAGCTTGACATTACAGGAGTTCTTCAGAGCTGTCTCCGCAGGGAAAGACTCAGATCCTTCCTGGAAGAAACCCATTTATAAAATTATTTCGAAACTGGACAGTGACATCCCAGAGATATTCAAATCTTCCAGCTATCCCCAGGAGCTGTTTCAAGTTAAGAACCCGCAAGTGGGTAACATGAGGAGCGATTGGCCAGGGTTACTACATCTGTCTTAAGTGGCCATCAATAAGCTGTAGTGACACAAAGAAGGCACAAAGGGAAACCCCCAGATAGGAACTGTTATTATTTCTGATCATTTATCTCCTTTACATCACCAGAGATTGAGCCATAACCATGAGATATTTAAGGTATGTTGGTGATGCTCTGTAAAAGGAACACAACTGTTTATAGAGTCAGAAGACTGGATTCTTAGCCCTGCTGTTTCCAGGTGTGATAGACGTGGGAACATCCTGGCATGTCTCCATCTGTCAATCAGTTAAGAGGGGATCTGTTCTAACGTACTCTATAAAATGTTACGCAAATGCTAGTTTTCCATCCCCACTGTATCCTTGCCTTGGTTTTCAGATAAGGCCGTCTAATTCTCAGTTTTTACAAATTGCTGCCTTTTTATTTTATCAGTGTATTTATCAGGCTCCACTGATGTGCTAGATAATTTCACATACGTCATCTATAAGCTTTTCAGCTGAAAAGTAGATATTTGCCTTGTTTACAAAGTGGCCACACTGAGTTGTAAATGTGTAGTAAGCTGTTGTAGTGAAGGCTGTTTTGGGATGTCTGCTTTTACAACAAAAAGAAAAAATATTTAGCAAACTGAACAAAAAAGAAAGGGAGTAAGCAGAAGTGTCAGAACTGAGGTGACTTGACGAAGGTTCTAGGCTAGGGAGTTTGGGTTCGTAGGGATGGTCAAGGAGAGTGATGACCCCAAGGCCATCTGATGCTAGACTGCATGCTGGACCACGTCATGTTGCCTCCTGCAATCTCCAACAGGCCCCCATCCCAGTGAGCAACGCACATGGATGGGGCACACCAGCTGACAACCCACGAGGATGGGGCACATCAGCTGACAACCCACGAGGATGGGGCACCTCAGCTGAGAACCCACAAGGATGGGGCACCTCAGCTGACAACCCACGAGGATGGGGCACACCAGCTGAGAACCCACGAGGATGGGGCACCTCAGCTGAGAACCCTGCCGTAACACTTAGAGGTGCTCATCACCTAGATTCCTGCTCATCATTTCACAGTAAGCCCTTCACAGAACTTCCTGCAAAGCTTGAGTGCTGCTGGAAAACTTTATTAGCTGGACAAACCAAATTGGTCATCTGACCAATGCAATAGTTGCTTTAATTTTTTCTTTGCAGAAGAAACTGAACTGCAACTGAGAGAGGTAGAAAGCACCTTAGCAGATCCTCTGGCCCAGCCTGCTTAAACCTGGAAGGAGGAAACTAGGAGCCTTGCATAGATGAGCACCAGCAGAGCTGGCAAATTCCGCATCACACACAAAACTCTCCTGCTCATAAGGAAATTACAGTCCGAGGCTGGTCTTCCATGGATGAAGGAATTTGTGAAATAAACAATTTTCCCCACTGGCCCAACACAAATTGTGATTCACTCTGGGCATATAGGCAAGACATCTGCAAAGCTAAGTAACTGCATCTGTTTTCTGAGTTAGTCAGAATCAAGCCTTCCAAAGGGGTATGTGTATGAGGTTCGTACAAACAGTACAGAGCCAGAGTATGTATGACCCTCCCCTCCCCACATACACATTTACTCTCACAAAAGCCCTGGAGACACAGCAGTTAAAATGCTCATCTGTAACCAAAGATGTGGCAGTCTACTGCCATAGAGATTTCCAGCCTGGGAAACCGTAGGGGGGCTTATAGGGTTGCTAGGAACTGTCAGGAATTGGATTTGGTTTTAGGGTGCTGTGGGTGTGTTGTGCAAATGGTGCTTGACTGCTAACAGAAAAGATTGGAGGTTTAGGCTCACTTTGTAGTATCTCAGAAGAAAGGCCTGGTGACTACTTATAAAAACTCAGCCACTGAAAACCCTATAAAGCCAGTTCTACTCTGATACACAGAGGGCCGCCAGGAGCTGGAATCAGCTCAATGGCAACTGGTTTGAGTTTTGGTTTTGGTGACTTCATTCTCATTTGCTTATTTTTATTCCACCTACATAAAACAAAGATCCATATTCAGCTGCCCGTTTCCATGACTTTTAAAGTGGGGTGATAGCTGGAGCAGTTGAGATAAACATCCCCAAATGATCGCACGATGAATCAACATAAGAAAGGTCTGAAAGACGATATTTTCTCTGAAATTTTCTCTTAACTTCAAGCAGCTGAGAGGAGAAGAGAAGCAAGACAAACCTCCTTAGCCCGAACCAATCTTTTCAGGTCATTTTATGGTGAATTTTTAAGTACACCCAATTGTACTCAAACAGTCAACAAACAAATTATCTTCTATACAGTGTGCCCTTTACAAATATGAGGGAATCTGCCGATTCTCAAAGTAGGCATGCCCTGAGTAACCTGAACAAGGGCAGTCCATTTTCTGTGCTCCGGGGACACACTGCATCGCTCTATGAGACATTCTTAGGAAACACCTCCAAGTCCACGTGATGGTCCAATACAGAGTCCTGCTTTCTGTCTGTCCCAAACCTGAAATTCATTAGTGTGTGCTTTCAAGGCTGAGCCAAGCCACCTCCAAGGCAGTGAACCTTGTCCCAGGGACCAGATGAAAACATTTTGTAAACTGCAATCTTTCCAGGAAGGGCTCCCTAACCACTGAGCTAAACACAGAAGAATGTATAAATATATGCGCTCTGCCAACAGAAGAATTCTATTTTATTGTATTTTCTCGTTTCTACCAAGTGTATCTCTTGCTCTGTTGAGAACAGATTCAGAATGTAAGCGGAGCTGGTTATTATGTTCTTTTGGCAGTCATAACATTGCCAAAAGTCTGGTCATTTTTTCCATTAAGGTATATGTGGGTGTGAGTCTCTCCCACATTGGACAAGTTCCATCTGGTCCAGTACTACATAGATGGCCTAATCCTTTAGTGGGGGTCAGCCCTGGGGTGTGGCTTATGATGATGGTGCTATTGAGGAGTTAATGCCCAACTGTGGATTAAAAGCAGGCAGTTAATTAACATTGTATACTGAGAAAAGGTTCATTAAGAACCTTTATTTCAAGCATGGCAGCTTCATACAAAATATAGAGTTCCAAACCAGACTCATAAAGCTCACTTGAGCATCAAAGGGGCATCTGAGCCATTTCCCTTCCATCAAAAAGGGCAAAGCAGAGATGGCAAACAGTGGTCCCCCATAGTTCTACACTCTAGCCCCACTCCTGTAGATGGTCTACTTTTAATTATGCTGCTGGCAAAGAATCTTGAATATACATACCATTGACTGCCAAAAGAATGAGCAAATCTGTCTCAGAAGTACAGCCAGAATGTTCCTTAGAAGCAAGAATGGCAAGACTTTTTATCTCACATGCTTTAGTCATGTCATCATGAGGAACCAATCCCTCCTGATGACATGACTAAAGCATGTGGGACAAAGTCATGCTTGGCATCAAATAGAGGGTCATCCAAAAAGAGGAAGACCCTCAGTGAGATGGATTGGCACAGTGAGTGCAAGGCTCAGGCAGAGCAGAGATTGTGAGGATGGACAGGACCTGGCAGTGTCTTGTTCATTATGAGTCAGAACCAACTTGATAACACCGTTTTAAAAATTGTCTGTATTTCCAATGACAAGGTACAGAGTTCTCAAAAAAAAAATTATTTTCAAATGGTACATCTATACCTAATTTTACATATGTCTTTGGAAAATATTTTTTAAATTCTTTGACGGTTAGCTAAGATTCTTGGTAACAGAAGCCTGTTTTCCGGATGTTGTTGTTGTTAGGTGTTGTCAGGTCAGTCTCGAATCCTAGGGACCCTAGGTCCAACAGGAGGAGACACTGCCTGGTCCTGAGCCAGCCTCACAATCGTTTTTATGTTTAAGCCCAGTTTTCAGCCACTTTGTCAATCTCTGTCACTACGGGTCTTCCTCTTCCTGCTGATGACATACCCAAAGTATGTGAGGCAAAGTGTCACCATTCTGCCTTGTAAGGAGCATTCCGCTGTACTTCTAAGGCAGAGAAAAGTCCTGTATACTAAAATTTCATAATCCTTGATTTGCCTTTTTCTTTGTAGTTTTGACCCTTTGCTTTATAAAGCAAATCAAAACTAGTTTGATGATAGATGAATTGAAAACAAAACAGAAGTTTTAAATCCTTTGATGTTTTTACACAATCTCTGTTAGATATGTACATAGATTTCACATAATGCAAGATAATTTCCTCAGGAAAGATGATTAAATAGAGAAATGGATAGGAGCAATAAAGAACATTACAGCTAAACTAAGCTATAATTCCATCAGGCCACACCTGGGAATTTGATAAAAAGCAAACCAACCCACACTCATTGCCTTCAAGCTGAGCCGATTCAGAGTGACCCAGCATAGGGTTTCTAAGACTAGAAATCTTTACTAGAGCAGAGAGCCTCCTACATCTCCCATGAAGCACTTGGTGGAATTGAACCATCCACTTTGAGGTTAGCAGTCCATCACCTAACCCACAGTGCCACCAGGGTTCCTTTGAATTTGAAAGGTACTCTACAATTCATAACAAATGCCTCATGGTTTGATGTTTTGGGGAAACAGATACATTTGTGACAATATGGAAAAACCAATTATCATAGAGCATAGGAGTCCTGGTGTGGAGCTGTAGGATAAGCACTGGACTGCTAACCAAGGTCAGTGGTTCAAACCTACTAGATACTCTCGGAACCCTTATACAGATCTGCTATGAGTCAGAATTGACTTGATGGCACTTAACAACATGAAAGTCTGAAAAACATTTTTGGCCAGATTTACACACTGTATAAACACACACAAACATTTATAAAGAATGATGAGCTCCCCAGGAGAGTTAAATGATGCTGAATCTATGAAGCAGATCATGGTACCCACATATAATAATAATAATAATATTAAAGCACTTACCTGTGGAAAGACAAGTTGTGAAAAAATCGTTTTTAGAAGCGGCTAGTGAGCTTGAACCTCAGACCACGTGGTTCTGACTGACTTTGTAGTCTAGCACATTCATCCACAGTGCCAGATACAGACAGTGAGGAACACGGAGTGGCTGGCTGCACCAAACCCCACCAGTTGTACTGTCTATGGACTCATTGAGGAGTCTGCCTTCTCTTTCACCAACACTCTTTTGGGGTTATTTTCTCACAATCTCATCCCTTCATGTTCACAAATTATCTTGTGTTATCATTTCTAAAACTTCCAGACTCACCCCTCAAACAAGGACAAGATCCTATTCTTCCCTTAGCAAAACCGTTACCTTCCCCTATTTACTGATTCCTGTGACTCAGATTCCTGTCTTGCTGGTAACAAACTGCTTCTAGCTCAGAAATTAAGCCTTAGACAAGAACACTGTCTCTCTCCCCTTGCCCTTCCCCCACTTTATTGTTACCTGATTTCTGCTCCATCTTTATCTTCCCCCTCAATCAATACTTTTCCTAGAGTGCTGTGGCTAGATGCAGGGGCTCTGTATATGTGTTTTCATCCTGGCCTAACCACCTACCAGCTATGGATCTCTGCAAGTTACTCTCTTGGCCTTGACTTTTAAAATATGGATAATAATAGTACTGCTCTTTTAAATAAAATACATGTAAAATGCCCAGCATAGCCCTAATGTCTGCTATGTGCTCTAATACTTGCAGTAAATGTTAGCTATATTATTACCTGGCACTCATAAACCGCTAGTTAACAAAGTCAGGAGCCTGTACTGTTTACAGTGAAGGAAAGATCAGTTTAAGAATGGCAATGATACATGACAAAATCTGTTATGGATTTTGTTTTTATTATAACTTGCACTAATGCATTAAATACCTAGGATGATAGCATACAACTTTAGGCATAAACGGATATGTTAATATGTTTTCT